AAACACATTTCTGGCCGTAATATATATATCAGCACATGTTAATATTCACATAAGTAGGCTTAATATTACTATTTTGACATTTAGCGCCCTCAATGTGTACCATTTTCTCCTTCCGACGGGATCCGGGAATCGGCTTTAAACGGGTATTTACTCCTCCTCTGGTTCATCTTCAATCGCCAGGAGAGGCAGGAGTTAGATCTTCTAACACTTTTCAGTGAGGTTTTCTGGGTCACTTTCAATGCGCGTCATTCAAATAAAATAAAATAAAATCAAAAGTTTATTGAGCGTCGGTATGGTTAAAAACAATACAACATTAGCTCTAAATTGTGTAAGTGTAGTTGTTGTTCTGAAGTGGTCTGGTAGGACATTCCAAATTTTAGGTGCTTCAGATCGAAATGAGTGTTTACCATACTTTGTAGTCCTAACATGTGGTATGTGTATGATTTTTCTGTGATGTTGATAAGGTCGTGTAGGTACATTATGTTGATGTCTGTTTATTTGTGATTTTAAATACTTCTATAACAACATTTCTGAGTCGTCTGATGTTGACTGATGGTAATTGTGAACGGGCTAAGTTTGCCTAATCTGTTAAGGTGTTTTCCTATGCGTTTGAGTGAGTTGAGTTGTCTAGATGCTTTTTTGCAGATGTTGGATGCATGTGTATGGAAGTTTAACTGGAAGTCTATGGTGACCCCTAGTAATTTTACTTCTGGTTCACATTTTATTGTGTTGTTGCCTATGTTGAAAGTAATGTTTTCATTTTGTGCTTTGTTTCCTACGGCCATGGCTTGAAATTTGTCTGGGCTTGCTTGCATATGATTGTTTGCGAACAAGTAAATGAGTGAATTGCAGTCTGTTTGTAGTGAGGTTTTGACTGTGTCTAGTGAAGTGTATGCTTTACTAATTGTATTGTCATCAGCATAGTTGTAAAGTTTACAGTGTTGTATGATGTGGAAAATGTCGTTGATGAAAATATGGAACAGAATTGGGCCTAAAATTGATCCCTGAGGAACTCCTTTGCATAGTTCCTGAAAAGTACTTTCAAAATTTCCTAATTTGACATTTGGTTTCCTGTTTTTGAGGAAATAGAAAGTTTATAATTTTGGTTTAAGCAGAAGGGGGTTGTGAGGCAGACAGTCAAAAGCCTTCTGGTCAAGTGCCATTTTCCAATCCTCTATGACTCGCAATAATGCTGTCTGACATCCGTATCCAGCTCTGAATGTAGAGAGGTAGGGATGAAAAACACCATCAAAGAAGTCACTGAATTGGGGGTGTATGGATCTCTCAAAGACTTTGGAGAGTGCCGGAAGTATACTTACCGATCTGGTATTTTCTTTCTCAATGGTGCTGTTCTTTTTGTGTATTGGTCTGCTGTTTTTAGTGTGTCTGGAAATGTTGATGTTGTGAGAGAGAGATTTACAAGTGTGGTGACTGGTTTGATAATGCTGGGTTGTGCTAGTCGTAGTAGTTTGGGTGAAATATTGTCGTGTCCAGTTGCTTTTCTGGGGTTTATTTTGTTGAACTGTTTGTTTATGAAATCCCCTCTACAGGTTGAAATGTGAAGTGTTTAATCTTGTCGTCTGTTTTTGGTGATTACCTGTAGGCTAGGGTGATCATCATTTATGGGTCGGCTGTTTGATCCAATATTCTTTGCCACATTTACGAAAAAGTTATTAAAGATGTCGGCTTATTCGTTTTGTTTGTTTACTTTATTACCCCGTTCTTCTAATATAATGTCTACTTGGTTTTGACAGCTTTGTTTGTTATGAATGTTTTTTCTTGTTTTCCAGAAGTTTTGGTTGTTTTGGCCCCCTTTGCATCTGTTTTCTGAGTTTGGTGACTTTGTTTATCTGTGTTGTATATTTTTCCCAGTTGTGTTTGGTGCGGTTTGAGAGGAACTTGTTGTGAAGTATCTTTTTTGTGATATCTTTCTTGTCTGATTCTTTTGTTTATGAAGGGTGCTTGGTTTAATCTGGCTTTTCTTTGTTTTATTGGGGCATGTTTGTTTATTATTTCCCGCTCCCGTCCAAAATCCCCGTACCAGGCATATAGAGATATTTTAATATCTCATTAACGCGATCGTTTATATTTTTTTTATAAAATTATAAAATAATTTCATACATTATTTTCTAAATGCGACAGTTTCAAAAATGTAAATTTATGATCTAATAATTTAGAAATTGACGATAATGTTTATTTCAAGCGGGTGAACTTGTACGCCGCAGTCAACCGTGAAAATCACAGTTTTTCATATATAATTAGATATTGAGAGAAAATTAACATGTTATTTTCAGATATGGTTATTATTGTAATAACTTTAAAAAATGGTTTTATGATTGAAATAATTGTGTTCTATTTCAAAAGGGATTTTAAGTTTACTCACTACACATTTTAACTTTTAATAGGATACATCTACAAATACATTAAAAAATACCAAAAATACTTCTGACTTTTATAGCTGTTTTAAGAACACTTACCACCAGCATCACAAGAAACCATATCATCAAATACATTTGAGATGTGACACCCATCTGCTTCGCAATCCATAAAAATATCGAATGATAAAGAAGTCTTCTTTTGCCAATGCCTACTTATTTTTTCCTAGGAAATTTAGTAAAGATTCCATTGGAAATACATTCCACAAGATGTTGGCTCATGCAAGTGGTGTCAAACTCTAACTCTTCACTCCCGTTAAACCCATTGAAACAAAATTCTACCAAGTTATCAATAGCAAAAACCCCACAGTCAACCCCGTTTTTCTGTTGTTGCACATTTGGTAATACTGTTTTTAAAACTTTTCTATATTCCCCATATGATGATGACAACTGCATTTCTAAAGAAGCTGACAAATGACCCTTTTGTTTCGTATTTCCTACCAAACTATCAAGAATGTATACTTCCCCACTATCTACCTCCTGTACTGACACTACCCAATGGTCCTTGCCTGTATGATGAATTTGTGCTGATGCAGCGCCGGTTGGTTTCATTCTGAGTGCATAGTCCCACTTTTTGTTTTTCAAAATTGGAGCATAACCTGTATCTTGCATTCCGCCTATATTAGGAAACTGTTTTTTTTTAAATTATTTTGTACGTAACACATGATATTACCACATAGTTTGTTTTCAATTAATAAATCATTTTTATCCTTAAAACTTAGCGTACTTTTACCGTTATCCATCCAGATACGTCTTGTTTCTGCGGGGTTAATAAGTGACGGTCTGTCATCCGAAAGATCCACTAAAATATCACTTACATTCGGTTTGTTCTTTTTTGGTAATGAAAGTCTTCTTCTTTGTTTTGCCTTAGGACTGGTACTTGCAACTGGTTCGGATAAACTTACACCATCACTACATTGTATGTCTGCTACTGACTCAGCTATAATACTTACATCTTTCGTATCTTCATTTACTTCTATTTTGTTTGACAATCTCTTACGGGTTAATGAAAGTCTAGACCTAGGTTTTGGTTTTCTTGGAGAACCAATATCAGAAATATCGTGGAGAGGAACTGACTCTAATTTTACTGGACAAGCCATTGTAGCACTTGGAGTTGAACAAGTTATATTTGATTCACCTAACTTAGTTAACTTACTGTTTGGTGTTGGGACTATATCAGTCTCCTCTCCATCACATGGTCTCGGTCGTTTCCTACCTGCTTTCTTGTCTGGTCGCTTTCTTGCATTACGCCTAAGTCACAGGGCCACGGTACAATCACACATATGCTATACTGATATGGGGCACAACACACATAAACACGTGTATGTTTATGTGTGTTGTGACCCATATCAGAATAGCATATGTGTGATTGTAACTAAGTTGAGCCATATGGAGTTTCCTCTTACCTGTTGTGTCATCTATGCCTATACTTAACTTCGCAGCAATAATATGATAGCAATCGATGGACACTGACATTGCTCTTGAGGATGTAACTGAACTGCGTACTTATCTCCCTGTGACCCTTCAACTATAAATTTCCTGGCAGATGGAACATGGGTTACCTCGTTATCCCTAAGAGCGGCAACTGCTGACCTTTATGAAGTTTGTTTACTTACTTGTTGAATCTCGGACGCTATATACCATTTGCTAAACTAGCTACATCTTCATCGCTTACCTGTTCGTTTAGACCTTTATGTTTAGGTCTTAATGTTGGAATATCTGACAGTTTACCCTTATCTGGATTCGAAAGAATTGATAATATAACATCACCTTCTAAAAATGTCTTAAAGAATTATAACGGTGTATCATTTACCTTCTACATCTAATAAGTTGTGGCGTTTGATGTGTTGTCATAATGGATTATTCTCTTATTCATTACATGTAAAAAAAATAGCAGATTATTAAATGAAAAAGAAATAATGAAATAGTTGTATTAAAAGTTTTTTTTTTTTTTTTTACATATTATGCATATTTAGCACGAGTCTTGACGAAGTGATGTCCACTTAGTACGGGAGTAAACAAAACGCCCGCGATCACAACAAAGTCAGAATTTCATGTGAAATATGTCGTTTATTNAGTGAATTATAAACAGTAAGGTATTTTGTTCTATATATCTGAAATAACATGTTAATTTTCTTTCAATATCTAATTATATATGAAAAACAGAGATGTTCACGGTTGACTGCGGCGTACAAGTTTTACCCCCTTGAAATAAACATTATCGTCAATTTCTAAATTATTAGATCATAAATTTACATTTTTGCAACTGTTACATTTAGAAAATAATGTTTGAAATTATTGTATAATTTTATAAAAAATATAAACGATCGTGTTAATGAGATATCAAAATATCTCTATATGCCTGGTACGGGGATTTGGGACGGGAGCGGGAGCAGGGTACAAGATTTACCTACCACCCTGCAGCTTTATCGTGGAAATGTCTTCGCTAAACGTATCGTTTCAACCGGGATACGCGAATGTAGCCATATTGCTCGCGATCGGTTCCCACTGGAACTCTTCATCGTGTTTATTAGGAGGTAGATTTGTAGTTATGTTAATATTCTATGGTAAGCCTAGCTATCGGTACGATGTCACCGATGTGCGGTCATGGTGAGGTAGGTTTAGCCTCATCTGTCAATACACGTGAGGATGAAACTGGTTGATATGCACATTTTATTTGAATCCATTAGCACTAGCTTCTTAAGGGTAGGTTGTAGTTGACTAGCTTTAAATACCAGCATTTTTTTTTATCTGTCATAGGCATAGATCTGCAGGTGTTCTGAATTTCGGTTTGCAAGCATAACAGAGGTCATTATTTTGCTATTCAACACCTTCGTTAGGAGTCGAAATCGCTTGTATATTCGAATGATGTAGTGGTTGCAGCGCAAATGTAAATATAACGTATTAATCATGATATTGACACTAAACTCAAGCATAGTTTAAAATTAAAATAAAGAAGAAGAAAAAGAAGAAGAGATATTGTTATCATTGTACCGAGGATAGTATATATACAGCTCGGGGAAAACCACCAACTTACGTATATTACGCAAACTCGCCTATTATACGCCTCAAAATCGTTTGTCCAAGTCGCATTTATTTAGTCATGAAACATCATACAAATGCAAAAATAAACTTCATTTGCATGTGGGAAAATACCAAAACTAGATGCAATACTTCGGTAAACATCTTTTAGCATAATATTATTTACCTTATCTTAATTTAATGCGAATTTTAATAATAAATTGCAAAAGTTACTGTTAAAGCGATTTGGGTTATTTTTAGTATCAAATCCATACTCCTTATAATAGGCGAGTTTAAGTATTATACTCAAGTTGCATTGGTGGTTTTCCCCAACCTGATACTCCGTCTTTGCATATTGCAGAGTTATCTTCTCTTATGAGCAGGTATTGATTGTTACGTTATTGGTTTGTGAGAGTAACGTCATCAATTTTTGAGAAAACGACGCAATTTTCTCACACAAACCAATGATGTAACAATCAATACCTGCTCACAAGAGAAGATAACTCTGCAATACGCAAAGACGGAATATGTCTCTGGTTTGAGGGAGATCGAATGAGGAAATATTTTGTTTGTTAACATAGAGGTAAATGAAGCCAAGGAACATTACAGTCTACCCGAATGTGTTGCGCGTAGGTTTCGGTAGAGTAATACCTAGTTTTCATTCATGTAAACAAACTCAGATGATTTTCCTCACTTGATCTCCTTCAAACCAGCTAGCTTTGAGTTCCTGTGACAGAATAAGCTAAAGCTACATGTAAATTCTCCCTAGCAGAGTTGGTAGGAAGCAGTTAGTATTTTGCCATGGTGACATACTCCCCATCCAAGAAAGAAATTGTCCTGACTTTTCCAGGGGTCGTTGCGATTCTTGTTAAAGTATCGTTGAATGTTCTTGTCAATATTCCTGGGTCCCTATATGGGTGCCAATATAAGAGAGCTAGGTCATTATTTTACAGTGCAATTCCTCTGCTAGGAGTCAAACCTGGGACTTGAAAGAGAGAGGGAGAGAAGGAGGAGTGAGGCAAAGCTGGACTGGGTCAATTGTCAGCTTGGCTGCCATTGTTTGGAGTTTGGGGGGTTCTGGTTTGGCCATGCACTTTTCCACTCCTACTGGCAGTGAAATTTTATTTCTGAGAATAAACATATTTTGCAAAACATTCAATAGATAGATATGAAAGTATTTTCAGATAAATATCAATCAATTAATTCTATTTCAGGGTGTCAACTTTTATTTCAGTGGAGGAATAATTTGCTCCAGAAAAAAAAAATGAAAAAGATAGTGATGCATGAAATATATAGAAAATTTTGGCAAACATTAATTACTTTTGGCATGATGCTGTAGTTAAATATCAATTAATGAAGTGATTCACAAAATTGAATGAGATTGATCATACTGACAGTTATAGCCAAATTTAAGTTTCCTTTAGCACAAATACAAGACATCATCGAGACAATTTGACAAAAATCTAGATTATCTGACATGTGACAGCTAGTTTCAACTTCAAGTATTTGAAACAGTGTCTCCAAATAGTCACAACATCAGATCATTTTACATGTAGCTAACATAGTAGTTAGAAGGTCCGAGATGAGCATCAGACAATTGTTAACTTATGCTGTAATGCAGAAACTGTACTGCAAAGCATCAATGCGGTTTCTTAATAGTCTTCCCCATGAAGTAAGGTTAAACCTTTACATACATGTAGAAACATGAGTCATAAATGAAAAATAATACTTGATTTTTTTTCCAGATTAAAGTATCCTTCAGAGTTACCTATGTGTTCACACCTTTATTTGATGATGATGATGATGATGATGATGATGATGATGATGATACAGATAGCTACAGGTAAGCTCATCTAGTAATACTATTTATGTGTTAGTGAGGTGCTGATTATCAATTATAATCAGAATCAGTTTGCCCTTTCTGATTACAATAATCAATTACAAAATATAAATTCCATGATTGATATAATTAGTTCATTACTGCCCTGAGGTGTCAGATACATTAAAGGTATGATTTATTTTATATGATTTTGACAGTTATAATACAGTAAAAAAAATCAAAATCTACTTAAATTATTCTTGTGTAATATTAATTTCTCTGAGTATATAATCCAGTCACGTAAAATGATATATCAAATATACAATTGATGATCAATCTGTTTACTAATTACATGTACAAACCAAATGTAACTTATGATTTTAAACGCATGCATTGTCCCTCACTAACATTTGAGTTTGCTCAAGAGGATAAAGCAATGGTAATTGTTCATATAACATATTATGGTATTGAGGATTGATTTAAAACAAAGGACAAACAAAACATCTCTTGAAAAGACGTCTTCACTGAATTAGATTTGTTATGTTACAGAAAGAGGATATTTTATGTAGTATAGGGCTTCTGAAATTGCTAAATGTCAAGGGCAACTGAAATCCCTGTGGTGTTTCACTCATTCACCCCTGAAATTTCATAATGAACTATTCCAACCTTTGAACTGGAAGAGTTCAAATGTGTCTCTAGGGGTGAATGAGTTAAAGTCCTGAGTGATTTTCAGAAAAGCAGTTTTTCTGTTAATGTCACGTTCCTCTTTATAACATATATTTTTCCAAAAAAGATGTGATTTTAAAAGGAAAACGCTATATAGTTATATATATTCCTACAATGAAGATGTACGTGGAGAAGAGTATTTGTCTAAATATCAATTTCCAAAGATCTAGACTCCAAAATACAGAGAAATGTAACATAGCTGTCAAACAACCATCATTAGGAGGGAGACACCCTCATTTTGTCCAAACTTTAACAATCTCCCTCAAACCTCACTCATTCAAGTCTAAACTCACACAAACTCATAATTTACATTCTATGGTTAAGTTATCTCCTTAGGTTACTGCAGTGTGTGTGTGTAATGATCATAGCAGGATGTCTGAATGTGGCATGAAGGGGATCTCCCTCATTGGAGATTTCAGAGGTTGACACCTTTGATGTAATGTGTTGTCACTATGACTTTTTTGTACATATTTTAGTGAGCAGCAAAAACTACTACTGCAGTCATAAGACAGTGAAGATATTTAATGAGGTTTGGGGGACGATCACGACTCGATTGCCGTGGGAGAGTTACTATACAAACAGCATCAGATGTGCATGGACCATTGATGCGGGAATAGCTCACAGAATTAGAATCACATTTATTAAAATTGATTTGGAGCAACTTACTCCTGGCACTTCTTGTGAAGACGTTGACTTCCTGAGTATACGAGACGGTAGATATATTTCAAGCTTGGGCAATACTCTTATATAAGGGTGCAAGAAGTAACATAAGATTGGAGAATACTCCACTCCCTGACAATACAAGAAGCTATTCCGTCTTTGCGTATTGCAGAGTTATCTTCTCTTGTGAGCAGGTATTGATTGTTACGTCATTGGTTTGTGCAATACGCATAGACGGGATACATACATTGTAGGTCATGCAGGGATAAATTGACATTAACATTTCCTGAGTATTTGAGATATATCAAAATGCACGTGGAACTTTGTTAAAAATTTGACATATATTATTTATATACATGTACATGTATCAATATCTTCGATTTTTAATCACTTAGGAATATGAATATTAATATGATAGATGTTTAGTGAGTTATTTCCTAAGTATAACCTTTACTCTTCAGAAAGGAAAGAAAAGTTATCAGTCAAAGTTGGAAACATTGTTTTTGAAAATTTGAACTTTAGGCCTTCATTCACCCCTGCAAATTTGTAATGAACCTTTGAATTAGAGGTGTTCAAATGTGTTTTCAGGGGTGAATGAGTAAATGGTCAGATGTCAAAAAAGTCTGTCACAGTAAGATAGAGATTCAGAAAGATCTGCATACAAATCTTATGAAATATAGTAAAATCAGATGACAACTTTTTTCTCTATCCTCAATAGTTAGATTATATTCATGTTGAGGTATGTGATTTGTGATATTAACTCAGTGTTAATATTTTTAAATCGGCAGGTAAATATTTTCAATGTCACCATCTTGATTAATGATAACATAAAAGCATTATAATTTCATAATGAATAAAACAAATAAACACCTTTGTTTTCGTGAATATGTGGTTTAATATTTGGAGCTGAAAAATGATCTGTCTATGTTAATGTCGCTTTCTCAGGTCCATATAACCACATATTCACCTCAATAAAAGTCCATAATAAATGAATTTGTTCATTTATTCTTTAAGGTGAGACCAAGTTAGCTCCTGTCCTGGTGAACATTTGCCCTGGGTCATCCAATCCCTATGAAATCATTAGTAGAGGCAGACATCTTCACCTGGTGTTTAAGTCAAATCGGAACAGCTTCCTTGATTACGTTGGTATTGAATTAAAATTTGAGGCTTTCAGTAAGTACATGAAAATCATCACAAGTATAATAACTCTGCTTTTGTTTCTATGTGCCAGCTTTGATTTATGCCTTCCTGTCAATCAAGGGATCGATGCAACTTTTTAAAACATCATTAAATTTAGCACAATTTTTCTACTCATTTAAATTGGCAAGTGTCAGGCTATGCTCTAAATTACAGAGGCTACGCAGTTCTGATTGTTATTTTATTTCCAAGCAACTTCCCTTACATTGGTTTAATTTGATCCAAATTTGGTGTGTTCATACATATTGGCTAGTGTCAGGCGAAATTTCTAAGTTTGTTAACTTAAGTTTGATGCGTGTATATTTAATTTATTCTATATTTATGCCCCACACAAACAAAGTATTTGGGTTTTATAGGAATGAACCTGTCCATCCGTCTGTCCATAATCCTTGAAAGCGCAACTTCTTGTAAACCATGTGTTGGATCAGTTTGTAACTTTTGTAAAAACAACAACATTGTATGTAGTTGTGCGTGAATGAAGGAATTTGTGTAATGGCTGTCTTTTCCGGAATTATGGCTCTTGAAACTTTCAATTTCTGCTCTAGAAACCTTGTAAATGCATCTCTTCATTAACAGTTTGTTGGATATTTTGGTAATTTGACAGTTAAAATACATAAAAGGTATATATGCATGAAGAATGGAAATTATGATTTGGCTTTCCTTGAGTTATTGCCCTTCACACTCTCTAATTTCTGCTCCAGAAACCTTGTACCTGAAGGCGGGGGTATATCTTTGTGAGCTTTCTCATAGTTTCTCTAGTTTGTTATCTTCTCTGCCAAAGTTCACTTAAAAGTAATGAAATCTGCCCATATATTAAACAGATGAATCATAAGGAAATTGCTAACCTATCTAACCATATTTTTTCTTTAATAATGAAACACAGACTGGTGTATATTATTATTTAAAAAGTGCTTTTTATTAGATAAAAACAAAGAAGGAAAAAAACTATTCTGGCCCTGGAATCCCATGAACTCTTTAATTTAATTACGCATGTATTATATATGATGTCTCTTTATGTAAATTTGTGTGGAAATATTTTGTCCTAATTAATTCAATGCAGTGAACACAAGCATTTTGACTCTTTGATAATTTTCTCTTTAGCCGTCCTGTCAATCACTAGTCCTGCCTTTCACCAATGTTGCTCTGCAGGACATCGTAAATACACAATATTAAAATGAAAGATTAATACTTTCTTAAGGGAAGTAACTCTAAGCCGGGAAAAAAATAATTACATTAATTCATATTAAATAAATAATGGAAAAGGCTCTTAAGATAAAAAAAAATAAACACCCATTAGAAGTGGAGCTCTTCTTCCTGATTATAATTTGTGCAAATGACACTTTTATTACAGACATGACTGGCTGCCCACCAGAATGGATAAGTGGTCATGGATATATACCGGAATATAATGGAGGAAATCAATATGCTGGAACATGTTATCGTGTGATGACAAAACCAGCTGGTGGTGCAGACTTCCTCACAGCACAGAAGTTCTGTGTCTACAGTCAAAGCAACCTGGCCAAAGTCAACTCCAGCATCATGTTTGATTTTTTACAAGGTAAAAATTCAGGTCCAAAATGTTTCATGTTTGGTAAACATTTAATGACAAGATAGTGCAAATATTATATTTGATTTATTTTCAAAACTATTAAAATCTAAATGTAAAATACAAATATCAATGGATAAAACCTTAATTGAAATCCAAAAATAGTGGAAAAAATAAATATTATTTCAGATATATTTTATCTAAAAAACTGCATTTTGAAAATTAGTGTTAAGAACTGGTAAAGCTTTTCAGATTTTGAACCCTGGTGTTCATGTCAAACAGTAATACCAGGAAGTCCATGTTTTTTAAGGTCTTCTGAGCAAAACTCTCAATTGACCTTTTGTTATCAGTCATTTTTAGTCCCCCACCGGTTCCGGGGGGGGGACTATATTTTTGCACTCCATCCGTCCTTCCCCCATAGAAGTTTGTCCGGGACATGTCTTCTATACTATATCACCTGGAGTAACCAGATTTGGTGTACAAGGACATTTTGGGTTTGGGATGACAGAAAGCAGAGTGCAAGAATTAGGTCACTGTGACCCATGACTTGACCTTTGACCTTCACTTTTGAAAAATTTTGTCCAGGGAATCTTCCTTACTATTTCACCTGGATTAACCAGATTTGGTGTACAAGGACATCTTGAGGTGATGGAGCGCAGAGTGCAAGAATTAGGTCACTGTGACCTATGACTTGACCTTTGACCTTAACTTTTGAAAAAGTTTGTCCAGGGCATATCTTTTGTACTTTTCCACCTTGATTAACCAGATTTGGTGTACAATGACATCTTGAGGTGACGGAGCGCAGAGTATAAATAAAGAAATCATTAACGGTGGGGGACTATGGATTGCCTTGCAGTACTTTGCCTTGTTCTCTTGTCATTTGATATCTCTACACAAATGACATTTTCATCATCTATTTACAGAAACACTAGGCTTAGAACCCTGGTATTTGACTAGAAGAAAGCTGGGTTAGATGGCTACCAAAAGTAGTCAAACAAATGACCTTCACCTTTATTCAGCGTCCCAGGGGTCCAACATATTAAAATCCTTAAACAACTTCTTCTCAAGTTCCAGAAAACCCAGGGTCACAATACCTACCAGTAAGTAGCTAAGATTGAAAGCTACCAAATTTGTTCAAATAAGACCTTGACCTTCATTGAAGGTCAAAGGTTGAAATCTTTAAAAGATTTCTCAGAAGAGCAAGAAGGCCTAGCATTAAGATATTTGACCAGAACATACCTAGTCTGGAGGGCTATCAAACAGTTTTGAATAGTCATGTCAGACCTTCATTTAGATCACAGGGGTGAAGCTTGTGAGAATCTTAAAATGACTTCTCCTCATGTTCAAGAAGGTATAGGGTCATGATATTTTACAATTATGTAGCTTATATAGAGAAATATCAAATTTGTAGAAGACAAGTTAAAAACCTTTACCCTTATTCAAGTTCATACTTGTTTGGGTAAAATATGATAACTTTTAAATGACTTCTCAAGTTCTTAAAGTTTGGTGTGTTTGTGAATTACGTCCTATTTAAAGCTATGGTCATTTAAGGATATGACAGGTTTTGGTGGTGGAGAACCCAATTTCCCTGAAAACAAACCTCGCACATCGGTAGCCAGTACCTGCCCCGCGTAGGCCTTGAACTTGCTACCCAGTGGTGGAGGGCTAGTGATCATAAACTGTCAGAAGCCTGAACCACTTGACCACAGAAGCCCCCAAAAAGTTTGTATACGAAGCGAACACTTGGCTAGCGAAGATGCTTCTTCTGAAGGGGTCAAATATGTTAAAAACTTAGAACAGCAACCTCCTAAGAACCATTTGGACTAGAGTCATAATACTTGGGTATGTTATGTAGACCAGCTGTGTGAATCCTTTTCTGTATTACAGTAATGAGGTCAAAGGTGAACTTTAAGTATTAGTCTGGGGTCAAAGGTCCATAAGGCCCAGGTTCATGCTATTTGGCCAGTAGGTATCTGGGATAGAGTGCTATAAAGTGTCCTCATTAAAATGACCAAGACCTACTTTCAAGGTCACAGGGGTCATTATGTTAAAAACTTCAAACAACATTATCTTATGAACCATTTGGTCTAGAGTCATGATACCTGGGTATGTTATTTGGACTAGCTGTGTGTATCGTTTTCTGTATTAAAATAATGAGGTCAAAGGTCAATGTTAAGTGCTAGCCAGACTCAAAGGTCAACATGGGTTCAAAGCTTTAAAATTAAAATTTCAAACAAAAATATCTTAAGAACCGTTTAAGAGATGTTAAAATGTCTTGTGTTCTAGCTACCAAATTTGGTATGAAGGAATATATGTCAGTTTTATGTAACAAAAGAAACAGGTACCAAAACTACCAACTTCATTACTTAACGAAATTTCATAAAACTTGATACTGATACCAGAGTTTAGTATGACAATGCCTTGAACATTTCAGGTTACTGTTAAAGATCTAGGTCACTTTTACTATTTTTAGAAAAACTTTACTAGATCTATCGACTTCATTCCTCAATAGCTGAGTAGATTTAAGCCTACATTTGGCCTAGAGTATCCTCGCCCAAAGGTATTTAATTTTGTATAAACAATAGGGGAAATTGAGGTAAATCTTTAAAATTCCTCTCCGTCGGTACAAATTGAGGGATATTCGCCAAATTTTGTCTAGACCATCCATTGGAAGGGTATAATTAAATTTTGTATAAATGGAGGGTGTTGCTCCCCTAGGGGCAGAGGTGATTGGCCCATAAGGGAGATTATAGGGGAAAATGTTAAAAATCCTTCTCCTGTATGAATTGAGTGATTCAAACCGAATTTATTGTGGAGTATTCCTTGGCAAAGGGGACTCAATTTTGTATGAATTGAGGATATGGCAACCTTAGGGGCAGAATGGCAGGCCTTTAAAAGGGAAATTGAGTTAAATCTATTAATTTTTTCTCTTTTTGTACAAATTGAGGGATATTAACTAAATATGGTTGTGGGAGAGGGTAATTCAATTTGGTATAAACACAGGATGTGGCTCCCTTGGGGGCAGAGGGGAAAAGCCCTAATAGGTAAAATTATGTTAAATATTTCAAAATTCTTTTCCTTCTGAACGCATGGACAGATTTTAATAAAAGTTTGTCTAGTACGTCCACGGCCAAGGGAAATTAACTTTTATATAAACAGAGGGTATGGCTCTTCTTGGGGCAGAGGGGTGGGGGCCTAATAGGGAGAACATGGGTAAAAAAATGTTTCAAATCTCTCTCCTTCTGAAAGAATGGAGGGATTTAAACCAAATTTGGTGTAGAACATCCATATGCAAAAGGGACTCAATTTTATATAACTTAAAGGTATTTGCCTCCTTGGGGCTGAAGGGTGGATCAAAACAGGGGTAATTTGGCCATATTGCTTAAAGCGACTTCTGCTCTGGAACAAAGTGATAGATATCAACCATATTTGGTTTGGATCATTCTTTGGTAATTGAGGATTCAAAATTGTACCAGTTGAAGGTCTGACACTTGCAGCTGGGTCTGAGGGGTGGGGCAAAAGAGAACTCTTAACTTGGCCATTATGAAGATCTCCACCCTAAAACCATGTACAATGTATACACAACCATCATAAAAAAAATGACGGTCTGGTCTGGCCCAACCCAAGAGACTCAAATTTTGAGCGATATCTTTGAAATAGTTGAGATCCCCCCC